CGGCAATGATTAACGATAATAAACACGCACACGCGTATTTTCTAAAAATAAATATAATTCTCATTTTCTTTTTTTTGTTGTTGTTAAAGTTAAGCGTAAATTGATTTTTTAATTACACTCCGCAGACGTAATACCGTTAGGCTTTAACTTATATACCTACATACATACCATTCAATAATAGAGTTTTTTCAATTCTTTATTGTCCACGCGAATTTAGCACTTGATTTTCGCTCTTAGTGTTTAAAGTTGAATAAAGCTATATGAAATCATACTTCAAGATTTACAAGACATTGACTTTGTGTTTTATTTTGATTTGTGTCATAATTAGACCCAGTTATGCAAAAAACAGCCAAGTGCGTAAAAGTACCCACAGAGTTATAAGCATCTATACTTATTATAAAAATAAGTCCCCCGGCCGCGTCTTTCTGTCCTCCTGTCTGTCTGTACGCGATAAACTCGAAAACTACTGAACGGATTTTTATACGGTTTTCAACAATAGAAAGAGTAATTCTTGAGGAAGGTTTAGGTATATAATTTATTATGCTTTTATGTAAATTAGCTGAAATACGGCGACAAATGTTGAAGAGGTCGCAAAAAATCTCGCCAAATGGGAACTTTCCACGCGAACGCCGCGTAAACTAGCAAAGATACAGTTAAGTAATGTACTAGAGAATTCAAAATCTATAAAAATGCTACAAAAAAGTCCGCGATAGCATATCTCTATCTCTTACGGTTGACTTACAATAACCACTTTTATGTTAACATTTTTAATTAAAAACATTACGTTATTTTCAAAGTTATTTTCTTTAGTTCGGTATTAATCCTTATCCAAATGAATATTTTAGTTAGCTTAGTCATTTAATGCAGATTAAAATTGCTCTTTACACTAAATCAATCAGATGAATAGTTTTTGAGATATCGTTGTTAGAAGTAATTAGTAGCGAAACATTTTTAATGCTTGGCGAGCATTGAGATGCCTACGGCGAGTCCATCCCCTCTGCCCCGCATCGCTCGACCGCCTGCTCAAGCTATATAAACCGGGCGATGTAGCGCGCGATCCTAGGATACTTTTTACCGCGGGAAAATATCTTATTTCTGAGGAAAAATACAAAAACTGCAATGTAAGAGTATACTAATATGTAACACCTAAGAATTTAGTTTTTGGTCATCTGAACGCGGGCGGAGCCGCGGGCAATGCTAGTTTTATTATAAAAAATAAAATATTTTTTTTAAACATATAGATATTTTAATACAAATAAGATAAATTACATTAAACTAAAAAAAAATATAAAAAAAAACAATACTTATATAAATATTGTTCAATTTTAAAATAACCAGAAAAACAAAACATAACCCAAGTGCAACTATCGACAGAAAAATGCTTATAACTCTGTTGGTACTTTTACGCACATGGCTGTTTTTTGCATAACTGGGTCCAATTCATCGGAATCTCGACATGTTGAAAAACTACACATACTGAGACTGGTATCAATTAATGATGTCTAAATACTTAAAAGAAATACAGTTTATAAAAATTTTCATAGCAGATTTAGTATTTGGATCCGTGAAAGGAATTGTGTTTACTGGAATAGTAATAAATAATATCTAATATTACACTTTAAAAGAAATATAAAAAAAAAATATAATTCCAATTACTCTAGGAATTAAATTTTAATAATAATTAAATTTAATAATTAATAATATTAATCTATAAGTATTCTATAATATGTACATATAATAAAATTCTAATTGAGTCGAATCTGTGCATTGAAATTTTTTTGGAAAATCTTATTGTAATACTCGTAATCAATATCGATACAGAGGACGAATCTGTAGTTTTTAGATTTTTTTTGTCTGTCTGTCTCTTTGTCTGGGAACGCACGAGATCACCACTGGACAGACTTTGATGAAATTAAATATAGGATACTTTTTACTGCAGGAAAATATCTCACCGCTGAGAAATCTATTATAAACGTATATGTAATATACTAATTGATACGTATATGTATGTATGTATGTATAACATTACATTGCCCAAACGGAGCGAGGGCGAGTCGCTAGTAGTAAGGAATAATAAATGCGAAAGTTGTTGAGTGAGTGTCTGTGATTTGAGTGAAATTTTAAATAAAGTTTATTAATTATTACTTACCTGAAATAAAACATTTTTTATTAATCTAGCGTGTAAAAAGTTTGGTAATGCAGGTTGAATAAGAATAATATGTGAAATGTTACGTTTGAAGTTTGCATTATATTTGTAGTAGGTTTAGGCGCGTTATATTCGGGCCCCATGCCCAAACAAATTTACATGTAGACTACAAATACAATTTTTTGGAAAATAATTACAAAGATATTTAATTATTTTTCAAAAAAAATAAGAATTTCTAGATAATCGAATATGTAAGAGGCTATTATGTTTGAATGTAAATGGATATAGAATAAAGTCATAGTCTAGTCGAGAAGTTAAATATCTACGAAAATTAGTTAGTAAAGTTAGAAAATTATGGACGATAGCTCATTAGATTCATAGATAAAATCCTGAGAAAGACGTTTTTTTATTTTCTACAAATAAAATAAACAAAAAAAGGCCTCAGATCTTTGTTTATAACCTGAAAACGGTAAATGTTAGCCGAAATTAGCAAAATGACAAAAAATTAAGAATTCGTCATTTTTTTAATAGTATGTTTAATTGTATTATGAGCAAAGCGCGGGCAAGTCACTAGCTAGTACTACAATATTAACATGGAAAATAACAATGCTTCGGTTAAAGACTCGTATCATAAGTATCGAAAGACTCGTATCATACACGGCTATTCAGTATCGACTTCTCCGTGACGTCAAAACGTATGGGCGCAATTTGTTAACACTTTGTTTGATAGTAACGGTTATATTAATGTACTAGCGATTTACCCTCGCTTCGTGTGGGTGCGTCCCTAGGTAGGTACGTTTTATTTTTTTTCAGCAGAACTCTAATTCTTTTTTTAAAAATAAAAGTCGACTACTTTTTTACTAGTTATTTGTAACAGCAGCTATCTGCCAGTGAAAGTCCCCTCAAAACTAGTCCAGCAGTTTTAGAGATTAGCCGGAACAAACAGACAGACAGATTTGTACAAACAGACAGGCAAAAATTTTAAAAATTGTTTTATTTTTCTTCACATAAATGCCGTATATAATTTCCAATTATGCATTTAGTAAAAAGCTGTTATTTCGACATTACAAACAGACACTTCAATTTTATTTATCTGTATACATTAATGGATGAGGATAATGCCATTAGTTATCACTATCAGTAGGTACCTATATCTTTTTCCTAATTTCATATAACTGTGCCTTTTTCCATGACAACGTCTAATGTTGTACAAAACTAAAAATTGTATATATATTTTTTTTCTAATAGCCTGATGAAAGTGTTGTATAATAAATCTGATTGATTGGTTTAATTAATCGTTGGAGATTTTTATATTTATGAATAAGCCAAAAATCCTGTACAAAATTTAAGTACGTACCTACTTATCCGTCAAATATTCTGGTAACTTAAACATAGTCAAACCTTCTTTGTTTAAGTTAAGGAACCGATCTTGCCTTTTGTATGTTAATAGGTTTTTAGAATACAACTTAACTTTTTCATAGAATTATGTTACCTCTAAATTAAATAATGTGAAGCACTTACTTGGAAAGACAATTGTTTACAGAATATGAGCATATATATATATATATATATATATATATATATATATATATATATATATATATATATATATACTAGTTAAGTGTTTGACGTCCCACTGCTGGGATGAGCCTATTCTACTGCGAGAGGGATCAGGTCCACCAAGCAGGCAAAGTAATTAGGTTCTCTTAGATATGGAGGTTTCTTCTAAACTATTTTCTTCACCGTAAGGCAGGTGGTAATCATATTGAAAATGATTCACACACATGAAAATTGTAATAGACCCGAGGTTCGAACCCGGTTGACTTAGTTTTTTAAGCGAGCCCGCTGCCACTGGCTTATTACTGCCAATTAAATGTACAATGTACATATAATATTATAACTAAGTAACAATTAACAGAAATATTAAAATGTACCTAGTAAAATTAATATTTACTACGCTTAGTAATATGGTGATTGCATACTGTTTTGAGCCAATGTCGTTACACCTGCTGTGTATCGGTACTAAATACTGTACTACTTTTTAGAGACCGCAACAAAAGTCTGTACGTATAATCACAAAGTTTTAATACGAAAATCGAATCTGCGGCCTCTGCTAGACAATGAATTTACAGACACGTCACAATTGTTCTTTTTTTAAGTTATTTAATGATCACGAAATAAATAAATAAGTAAATAAAAATGTTGGGAAATTAACACACAGCACCATCTAGTTCCATGGTAAGCTACGAGGCTTGTGTTATGGATACCAGATAGTTGATACACTACACATATATAACTTTAAATACATATTACTAATATAAACACCCATGACCGGAGTACAAACATTCGTGCTCATCACACAATTGAATGCCCCCTGCGGTACTCGAACCCGCGACCACTGACACAGCAAGTAGCGTCACTACCAACTGAGCCAAACATGTCGTGAAATAAAGCAATAGTTTAATTAAATTAATATTAGTATAGTAGATTTAATAAATTCAAATCTTTTTTTCGACGCTCTATGTAGAGCAGTCGGTAGTACCGTTCCGTAGTCTTTCAGTAGTTCAGTAAAAAGTTAGAGTGACGTCAGCGCACGCCAAAGCCGCGTGCTCCCTCTCGCCCGCACGTATATATGTACATATATTTACCACTCGCGTCTCACCGACTAGTTAGTAGTCGCCTCTCGCCAGTCGTAAACCGATTCTCGTCCTTACAACAACCCCTCGCGATGACTTTCCACCCAGTAATCTACGTTGGTACACACACCAGCGTCACGTGAAACGTAAACTCTCCTGCGTTTTCTTCTGTGTTCGGTTTCTCTTTTAATCTATCAAATAAATAAATAAATAGCAATATGGTATCGAATCGTGGAACTCACGTGCTGGTCTGGGAACAGCCAGGATTGGAAGACCAGAGACCCAAAAGCTATAGTGGTGAGTCAGAATGACGTCACGGGAATACTCCATTTTTATGCTAACGCTATCTTGTTTGCATTAGTTTCATATTGCCGACGGTGCTTTTGATATGATAAATCTGGACCGGCTTTACTGTGATGGGTTTACATTATCATAAAATTTAACGCCACATTCGATTATTCTGTTACCATTGGTATAGGCTGTTTATTATTTAGAATATGTCGGTCAAGTCATATTTGTATGTAGATATTGCCACAAATAACATCAAAGGCTATGACAGAAAACCTTTTATTCGACAGTAAATCAAACAGGTATTAAATCTATATGATATGAGATTTGGTTTTATGGTTTTTCACTCATGGCCTATATTCTATTTCGGAAAATATCAAATGTGTATAATATTCTCAATTTTAGAATTATTAATATGTGATTTTTTCTATTTAATACAACTTTATAGTAATTCACGTGTAAGAAAGGAATTATTGTAGTTTTTATTCATTACCACGTGGTTATAATTTGTATTTTCCTGTTTGTAAGTTTTTTCTTTGAAACTTGATACTAGGTTAGTTAATGTAATTAAAATAAAAACATACAGTGTATTGTACTAAAATATGAACAAGCGACACGTAAACGCTTTTCAAGATTCAATGGTACCTTAATTGATGGTATTTATGTAATTTTATATAACGCATATTAATTAATAAGATGGAATTTATTATTGAGATTATGTCTATTTTATTTTTCGACCGTTTAATGATAGCAAGTGTTCTTAATTTGTATTCTATACCAATATAATTCTATAATTTTCATAGTAAAAAATATTTCCTTTTAACAGATATTTTTAACAAAGATATTTATAAAAGTGTATACCTAAATAAGTTAATATTTATTATTAATAGAGAAAAATCTAAAATATTTTTTTTTATAATCAACCGATATAACGAAATAAAATGGATCGGTAAATAGCATACACACATAAAACATTTACATATAAATTATAGAATCAATATTTTCAGTACATATTCACAACGCTTAATTTTCCGTTTACACAGTACGAGCGTCGCGACAAAAGTCGCATCGAGTTTCCGCACCCTTCATATAATTTTACGCCCTTTCCCTTGTAGGGTAGTTATCTCTGTCTATCTAGAAATAAATATATTATACAAAATGTTTTCACCTAACACGAAAAGCGAATTTAAGCAACTATTATATATATTAAAATTAAAAAAAAAATACTATACCTACTAGCAAGTCGGTTCACGTCGCTCGGATTCGTTCCCAGTGAAAAACAAAAATAAGTCTATCCCACGGGAACCGTACATTTTTCTGATATAAAAAGTAACCTATTTGCTATTCCAGACTGTAATCTATCTCTGTGCCAAATTTCATCCAGATCCGTTCAGCCGTTCTAGCGTGATTGAGTAATAAACATCTATCCAAAATTCGCATTTATAATATTATTATTATTCTACAAAATGTATGAATGAAATTTTTAACTTTAAAGTTACACTGCTTTCGAGAATTGGAATTTTTACTTGAAATATTTACGACATTTTGGCTGTTTGTAGTGACACTACTTACTGTGCCAGCAGTCGCGGGTTCGTGTCCCGCTGGGGGCATTCATTTGTGTTATGAAAACGAATGTTTGTCCTCCAGTCATGGGTGTTTATATTTATAATACGTATGTATTTAAAGTAATATACATATGTGTAGTGTATCAACTATCTGGTATCTATAACACAAGCCTCGTAGCTTACCTTGGAATTAGATGGGGCTGTGTGTTAATGTCCCAACATATTTATTATTTATTTATTATATTCGGGACCAGCTTTGCTCTATATATCGTATTCATTGTAAAAACCATTAATCATCAAGTCGCGATATCGTGTAACACGCATTGTGTCTTCTCCCATTGAGAAGTTTGTCAAACTTCTAAGTCTATGAATAATCCCGCAAAATTTTCCACAGAGGTTTCGCCAGGCAGGGAAAGTTGCATTTTCTTTTGGATTTCTTTCATTTCTACAGACTATATGGTGGTAAAATATTCTAGATTTCAAATTCAAATCCAAATAAAACCTCATTTTGTCAAAAGTGGTTTTTTTTTAATTCTTTAAATGAAAAGTTTTTATCACAAATGTATGCAGCTGTACTTTTCTTTTTAACGCTTGTCAAAGTTTAAGAGTTCCGCGAACATAAAATAAAATAAGTATGAATCTAACTCGACATTGATTTATGATCATTCTTTAATTTATACAAGACTTTGAAACTGACTTTTAATTGAACTTTATTTATTTATTGATAAATATTTTATTAATTTCAATTCTTGATCAATACTAATATTATAAAAAGGTAAAGTTTGTGAGTTTGTGATCTCCGATCCGATGAATCTCCGGATCTACTAAATCGATTTAGATGAAATTTGGCATGAAGATAGTTTGAGACCCTAGGAATGACATAGGTTACTTTTTATCCCGGAAATCATGCCTTAAGGGGGTGAAAATGGGGATGAAAGTTTGTATTGGGAAGCAATCTAGGGACGAACCCGAACGAAGCGAGGGTGAGTCGCTAGTTATCAATATTTTTAGCAAGTAGGTACTTAAGCCTATGAGCTGCATGAGTGAGTGAGAGAGCTATACTAGAATTCCTATGTATACATGTTTATAAACACAATAGTTAGAACACTTACACATACTTTAATGTATACAATACATTGTAACATTAAAGTGTGTGTGTAAGTGATGTAAAATACATTAAAGTGGAAAGTTATGAACATTAAATTTACATTAAAGTGTAAATGAGCTATATTATTGGAAAGTTTCATTAAAATCCATTCAGTAGTGTTTGCGTGAAAGAGTAGAAAACAAACATACAATCTGTACATCCATACATCCTCACAAACTTTCGTATTTATAGTATAAATTAAATTTACAAAACGCATCAGTATTTCCGTTTCATTTTTTCCTTAAAAACAGGATAAATAAATGTTACACCAGCGGATGGAATTAGACGTTGCGTTCGTACTGTTCTATTTAAATTTTAATCTAATAGCTTAAGGAGGGCAGCGAAAAAATAATAATCCAGTTTGTAGCAATGAATAGGTATACTATACGCAGGGACATATTAGTTTAGTTAATAGGTGAATCAGTAAAAAAAAATTGACAACGCCAAAACAAAATTTATTGTGTTTCATATCAAAATATATCAGAAAATTACATGAAAGCTTTTAGTAATACAATATAAAATGTTTTAAAAGAAAAAAATATCGAATAAATAAATATAAATATGTTGGGACATCAACACACAGCACTATCTAGTTCCATGGTAAGCTACGAAGCTTGTGTTATGGATACCAGATAGTTGATACACTACATATACGAGTATATAACTTTAAATACATACATATTATAAATATAAACACCCATGACTGGAGTGCAAACATGCTCAACATACAAATGAATGCCCCCAGCGGGATTCGAACCCGCAACCGCTGGTATAGCAAGTAGGGTTACTACACACTGAGCCAAACGTGTCGTCGAATGTGCATATTACAAGAGGTTCTTGAGAAACAATAGCATTACCTAGGAGGATTGATGTCAGGCAGAAGGCCGGTCGTAAAACTTTTGCCCAATCCTATCAGCAGTACAGAAGATGTACTGCGCCGACTCCAAATGATTGGGAAATGAACAAGGAGATGATGATGAATAGATGAATCAATCTACAGAAAATAAAGCAATTTTCGCGATATTGCCATGCCATGGCATTTTCTAAGCCAAGTTTAAGGGGTCGCTGGAGAGGCCCTGGCGCCACTATAGCGAAAAAAAACACGTTTTATTCTACATCTTCAGAACGGCTCATTCTACGTAAAATAACGTATTGATTTTTTTTCCTTTAAATTGAATTTTCTATCTTTTTTTTATTTGAAACTTTGTTTAAAATTAATATTTCTCGAGATATCGTGCGATAAAATTGCATGTACGAGTAAGTGAACGATTATCTCTCGATAATTGCGAAAAACCGACGAAGATAGTGAAATTTGTGCATTTCTTAACAAAAATTATATTATTATTATAATTATTCTTTAACAACGACTCGAAAATCACTTAAAATTTTATATTATAATTATTTTGATTTATATGGGACTACCCTTGAGGTAAAAGTGCAATATATTATTTAAAAAAGATTTTTGAAAATCGATTCACTGTTGGCGAAGCTATCGCAATACATTTCTAAAAAAAACGAATTGAGTACATAAAGTAACGAAATATGAAGTACTCAAAAAACAATTATTATCCAATAATTACAATGTAAAGAAAACAATTTGTAACTTATTAAATTTTTAAGTAATCTTTTCGTTATCAGTCTTGTATTACTAATATTGCTGATCAAATAATGATGAGATTTTAACACGGAAGCATAACGTGAGTCACTCCCGTCGGCTTGTCATAGTTTGTTTATATACTTTTAATCATAGTACTTATCGCGATAAGATAGATGTTCCAGACTTAGCTAATAATCCGGTCGAGTGTCGGTAAATAATTAACCTTTAATGTCTTTATCTTTGAAGAATTCTATATCCGCTATTGCCTTTGATCTCGAACCCAAATTTATATGTAGGATCTGAGCGAAAGAAGATAGGTGGACTTCTATTATAAATACGAAAGTTTGTATGTATGTACGTTTGTTTGTTACTCCTACGCGATGAACCGGCTTTGCGGATTTGGATGAAGCTTAGTAAACAGATAGGGTTAGGCAACTATGGTCGGGCTCGAGAGCGAAGATATGCCTCCAGTTACCTATAAACATGTCTGAAGACTGAATATTATAAATTTAATTTCTGTGAGTAGGTGCTAGGCAAATATTTTTTCTCCGCAATAATAAAGCAGTAAACACTAAATTGGACGTCTTTCCATCAATGTACTAAAATTTAATGTCCACTAATACATATATAATAGTAAATATCATCTTATTTGACTCTTTTGCCCGATTTCACCAACGTCACTTAAGTTTAAGGGATCCCC